CCCCCCCCCCCCTTGTCATATTAAATGAACTTTCCCTAAGCAATGCCAAAAATGTATACCAGACACTCAAAAAATTCCAAAAAAGGTGCCCAAAAACTACTTTGAGTTCTGCCGGCCATAGCTGCTTGTATTATTTGGTTTTGTCTGAGATAAAAAACCATCCACCATAACTTACAATTTTAAACCTTTTTAGCATTTCCTCAGTGTCGAGCCATTATCTATGTCAGTGTGCGTTATATCCTTCTTACAACAGCTAACCACTCCTTAAGAACAGCTTTGTCTTTAATATTGACGAACACTCCGGTCGTACCAACAATCTTCATACATTTTTATTTCTCTAGAAACGAGGACATCACTATAAATTTGGGCAGTTGGGTAATTTGTTCCCAAGTTGTGAAGTTAATATTGCTGATTCACTCAGTATGAATATTCCGGCTGCTGCCTTTCAGTTTCAATATTTTATCGCGGGTTGTTATGTTCCGACAGTATGGCATGCAATTAACCATGCAAATTTTCACGTCCTTCTTTTTCGATAGACTTAAGCCAAACTTAATTTACTTATTTTAATTTGTATTTTTTAAAAAAATGTGAAATCATTTACCAGTAAAAGGAAAAATGCGTAAGCTAAAATATATCGAGAATAATTTGTCTAACTATCTTTTCTTTTCACAAAGTATAGGCTTCAATTAGCTTTTTTTCCGAAAACCGCTTCCACCCTGAATTTCGCGACCGAGCACTGAAAACCCTGAAATCATGCTGAAAAATGGCGCCGTCAATTTTTCAATCCCGATAACTTAACAGCGGTAAATACTCGTCACCAGTTTCCCTAACGGTCCCTTAGTATCCGCGCCTTTCCTTCCTGAACATGGCGCCCTTGAATGAGTTTGTTTTCGTTCGTTTTTGTGCAGTCATTGTATTTTGCGGCCTTGTGTAGTGGTCAAAACACTGCTTATCTCAACAATGATATCCCCTTCTGCTTTGAATATGTTCTCGCCTTCGTCCGCTAGTTCCGAAGACATAGGATCGTCGTCTTTATTTCCTTCTCTGGACACGGGCGGCTTGTCAACATCTGGTATCACTTCCGAAGAGGTCGAAGAACAGCCAGAGGACGACGAATCGGAATAGTAAGTAGTGCGGTTACTCGAAACTAATCACAGAGTGCACCTACAGTTGTATAGCGCAGTGTCCGAGTCGGTAAACTATTCCCTAGGCTATCAGCTGTTTGAGGTATAAAACGTCCCGTCGTCCAGCTGTTTTACCACCTATCCCCCTTCCTTTTAATATTTAGTTTAGTCGTGTTTCAGTTGATAATCAGGCTTTCGTTACTCTTAGGGCACCCTCACTCTACATATACAACTCAAACAAGTACACGCGCAAAATAACCAGTTTGATACATTTTCATTTCAAACCCTTATTAAACTTGATATCGATTCAAAAGTCTTATTTGAACATTTTAGTCAATGAAGAATTTTAAAATTGTACAATAATTAATGCTATGAATATAATAATCATTTTATCTTTTGTAGGAGATTAATTTTTGTTATTACTACCATTATTATTAACTTAATTTTCTTTATTTATGTAGATGTCTTGAAAGATGGCTCCCCTATTGCAAAACTAGAAATTTTTTAATAAAGTTTGAATAAAGGTTGAACCTTTACTGGTCCTGCAATGGGGGTGCCATCATGCAAGACATTTAAGTATTAAATGAATAAAAATTAAGTTAATAATAATAATGATGATAATAATGATAATGATAATGATAATGATAATGATAATGATAATAATAATAATAGTAATAAAATCTCCTACAATAGATAAAAATAAATAAAAATACTTACAGCATATTTACTGACTCACTAAAATACTCAAATAAGAAATTTTTGAATCGATCAGCGGACTTAATGTTAACAATTTCACGTGGTAACGCATTCCAGTCCTTGACAGTTGTATAGAAATAGCTATTCTTATATTTCTCAGTATTTGATTGCAATTCAATTAACTCGTTCTGGCTAGACTTCATAAATGTCTTCTTGGCTCCACAACTATTAGACCCTTTCGGTCCGGTGATAGTAGTACTTAACGAAACACCTTATTCCAATTGACGCTCTAATAAGAAACAAGGAAGTCATCATAGGTCAAATTGAACAAGTTCTTAAAACATTGACAAAGACCAAGCCTCGTATAACAGTTTTTAATGAAGTGTGTGGCTCTCCTCTGTACACCCTTAATTTGTTTGACATGTTTTTTTTTTAACTGTTGTTTGCCAGATAAATCTGAGTGATCTATTGCTTTCATGAATTTGTTATTTACATGCTGTATCCAAAAAAAAAAATGTTTGCATATGTTAGTGATTTGTTTTTCTGTTCTTAGTTGTGATACAACTGAACCCTCTAATGCAGAATTAATGGAAAAGACCCTTTTGGATTTGTCAGAGGTAATGAAATGTATAAGTCGCTTTTGTATATATGTTGTAGGGCAAATGAAATTCAGTTTAAAATGGTTTCACTAGTTTGATTTTTAATAGATTATTTCCTTTGTCTCCCAGCCCGAAAATAATTAATGACCGTGAATCATAAAAAAATATTAGCATAAGTAGGCAGACTCCATAACTTCTTAGCTTTTTTGGTGTGCCTGCAGTTTTTCTTAGCTTAATGCATAGTATCGCTCTCAGTGTCATTCAGAGATGCTTAAATTTAATTTCCTGGATAAAGCAACTTTGGGTGTCCATTTCTTTAATTACTGAGTGCACTGAGTGTAGGCAAAGATTTTGTTGAAAAAAAAAAATCGAAAAAGTCTTGGTTGTGTTACTTCCCTTTAGGCCCAAACAGACTCAGCCAGAGAGATTTTGCTCATTTTTTTTTTTGTGAATATGTTTTGCATGCCCTGAGTTGGTTTGAAGTGAACATCCATATCTCTTGGTCTACATGTATTTTTGTTGCCTAGTACGTGATCGAAAAGTCTACCCAAAATAAATTCTGATGTTATTTGATTAAGAATTTTGCTTTCCAGAATTAAAGACAGTTGAATCTGTCAAAAGTTTGTGGTATTTTACAAATTTGATTGAAGACTAATGGCATCTATTTGCTTGCTGTTTTTTTTATGACATCCACTTGGGTGAATGTTTGTAGAGGTCAAAACACTGCTTATCCTAACCATGATATCCCCTGCTGCTTTGAATATGTTCTCGCCTTTGTCCACTACATGTAGTTCTGAAGACATACCCCGAGGGGGGTTACTTGGGTTAATTTTTGCTGGGTATGTGCCACTGGCCTCTCAGAACCCCTACCCCATTATAGTCTATTCTGTGGCCAAATATAAACCCCATCTTGACGATCCCAATTTAGTAACTTTCTGTTTTTGCATCTACCTTATAAAGCCTTTTAACTAGGCCATCCTGAAGTGAATTGAGACATTGGCTAAACTTAATGAAGTAAAATCTTCCCATTTTTAAATCCCTAACTGCCTTAATTTTCTGATCCCCCAAACCCCGAAAAAAGTGCAATCCCATTCTAATAACTCTAATGAAAATGCAGGCCCATTATAGTCAATCCAGTTGTGAAAATATGACCCCACCCAGCGACACATCCCCATTAGCCTACAGGTTACTAGGAAACTTCACTTGTTTATCATTTTCTTTGTTTTCATAACATTTTTGGTTTGATTGAGCAGGCTTTTTGTAAGGAAATGTGGCATTCGGCTTTGTTTGTGTACAATAATTAGCTGTAATGTAATTTGTTTTCCGTAACAGCGCATTTTACTTCAGAATGGAGGAAAGTTACATGTTAAAGATATTGGTGATGGAATTGTTGAAAGTGGCCTTGTTCCCCCCAGGTTAGTGTTGATTTTCTTTAAGGGTAACATGGTTTGTATAATCTTGTAAAGGTCATGGAATTTTACGAGTGGTCTTGAAAAGTCCTTGAATTCAGCTAAGGTCCTTGAAAAGTACTTGATTTCTTTATTAGGTCTTAAAGAGTCCTTGAAATTCACTACCTTGTCTATGCCAACCACCCCTTTCTGTAAAATAAGATTATTTTGCTTTTCAAGGAAAATTTGGCTCATCCTTGGTGTAAGCCAATAGGGTGATCAAAAGGGGGTTAAAGAATGGTGATTTATTACATAAATCTTAGTCCTTAAAAATTGTAATTTGTCCTTGAAAAATCCTTGAAAGGCCCTTGAAATTTTTTTTGGTCTGAAGTTGTATGAACCATGGGGTAATAATGTCTGCCTTATTCATGTAGCCTTTTTTCCACATTTGAGTACCTCAAAAATTAGACTACTCAGAAATACATGTCGGTCCAATTTTTTTTGTATTTCTATGAATTACCAGTATACTGAAAAATGAATATGTTAATATTTGCATCATTCATTGGATTTTTCTGAAAGGCTTTTAAATTACTTCCTTAGAACTGATATGGCTCTCATGACAGTTGTAAATGATTAATCTCAGACAATTATGATTCCTCCATTTTCTTGACAATTATAAATTACAACAACTTTTCCCAAGTAAAGTGAGTGTAAGATTTTTGATTGTAGTTTGCTTTGATTAAAAATTTTAGGTCAAAGGCGTTAAACAGTCTTGAAGCAATTCTCTATCGTGAGGTCAGTAGGTATTTACTTAGAAGCCACAACATAAAAAAGAAACAGGATGTTCACATGTACATGTATCTCATTTTGACAATAATTGTTTTGTGTGACTACAGTGGAACCTCCAAATGCAAGTTCCACCTCTTGTAAGCGACAACCTTTCATAAACGATCAACCATCAATCCAAACCACCGAACTTTTCCCGGTCAAAACCTCATGGTTGGAACTTCTCAAACCACCTGTTGTAAGAGACTGGGACCTTGTTTCAGTGCTGATGGTGTAATAATTTTCTATAGCTTTTTACCCTTTTGTAATTTACCACTTGACACATGGTGGGATCTCTATGTTTGCTGCATGTATTATGCTGCTTAGAGTATATGAAGAACTTCTAGCAACAACATGGAACTATACACATATTGCAACTTAAGAATATGCATGCATTGATCTATCTTCCAAGAAGTAGATGTGTCCGGACCTCTCTTCGGAGGAGCCTCTCTGTAATTCTACTCTTGTAAATGATCACCTCCTGTAGGTCTTCACATTTTAAGTGGTTGCTTACAGGACTTTTGACTGTATTAAAATAACATAACATAACATAAAATAACATACACTTTATTATGACTCCTCTATACGGGGCTATTCTAAATAATATTCTAAATAATAGCTGAAGACAAGAAAAACATGAAAAAAAAATGGACCAAAAGCACTTAGTACTAACACTTACTTTTGACAATTTTTTTGTAGACTTTTCGCGAAGGATCCAGATTTAAAAGAATTGATAATCGTTTTGGATGGTTTGCTTTGATGGTGAGAACTTGATGACTATGAATAAGTAGGTGTATATCCCCATGTGCACTGTAAAGGAGCTGTTCCATGAAAAATAACCAAATAATATGGTCACCAGATTGAGTGAAATAAGTAAACAATAATACCCACCCCAAACAGTGAGGCAACCTTTGAGTCTCTCAGCAAATACAATAATTATTATTATGGTATACATGTGGATGGACAAGATCAAAGGTAATTAACAATATATTGTAATGGTAGTTTTTGAAAACTGTTCAACCTCAATTTCTTTTTTTTGAGTCTTTTTTTTGGTAATTTTCAAAGCAGGAGATGTTGACAGACACATTCTGGAGGTCACAAATTATTACAGGTCATGGTTTCATTGATAGGTACATGCACGTGTAAACTAAGCCAAACAGTTTCTCCTCAATCAAAAACAGCATTTTGGATCAATGGATTTCATTAGGGCTAGGATAAACGTTTGGTCTGCATTCTGAATTGTGGATCTTCTAAAAAACGTTTGCTGTTCAAAATGACCCTCAGGAAAAAAAAAAATGTTGGTTGTGATGCTTCATTTTGCCATTTAGAAGTAATAAAAAAAACTTTGGCTGTGATTCAGATTCAAAGTATGACGTGGTCCTTTAATCACACAGGAAGCTGACATTGATGATGACGAAGATGATGAGTCCATGGATAATGAAAACACTGAGGGAGATGACCAGGTATTGCCTGTGAAATTTTTGTATAATCTCACATGACCAATTACTTGTTTCTTAGTCCTAGACCATGTTATGGCCAGTTATCTGGCTCTCAAGTTTTAAATCTGTGGACGAAATCTTATAGTGGTACCATTCAATGAAATGTCTTTGGCGTGTATACTATAATATTAAAATTCTTAGGGAAGCTTTCTTTGTCCAGTAATAGAAACCTGTGAAAAGGTTTATCCAGTTGAATGGAAACAGCATTGTCTACATTGTAGTTGTCAAAGTCTTGGAATGCAGGGTGCAAAGAAAGTCGGTTATTTTTAAAGCTTATTCTTTGGGCAAGCTGTAACTATCATGTTCTAGCCCAAGAGTCATTTCAACTTGCCCAAAAAACTTTGATGAACGGATTGATTACAGTTCTTCTATAATTTGGAGGGTGGTGTCCCACCCAGTTCTCCAAATCCTCACCCCTTTTCAGACCAAAAATGTCTTTTTCCACACCCTTTTTCAGACCTAGCCCATAAGAAATTATGTCATCATTACTTAGATTAGAACAGCAACAAAAAAAGATTTCTTAAAATCCATTGCGGATTTGCACATTTCTCTTTTTTACTTACTTATTTGGAACTGAAACGATAAATGTGTTCATCCACTCCTGTAGTTCCCTCAAAAACCATATCCAATTCCAGACCAAAATGGTCAAAGTCTATGCCCGTTTTCAGAGCAAAATGGTGGAAGAACAATACCCTTTCGGGCGGCACATACCTATATGGCTTATATACATTTAAGGGAGTACCCCCTCCCCTGACCGAGGTTTAGGTAGTAACCTTATTTGTAACTAATTTGCATGTTGCATATTAATGTCATGACACCGTTTGACACCATTTTGTTCTCTGTTGATCACATGCAGTCTGTTAGAGCTTCAGCATCAAAACATCCTATTGACTACAAAAGGAAATACCTTGGAATAAAAAGGATGGTGAAACAACTGGTGTTTGTATGTATTGTTTTTTATTTCTCCTATTTTTTTTGTTAATCAACTTTTTAGTAACTTTAGTGAAAAAAATAAACTTGTTTAATTTGTACAATACATACATGTAAACAATAATAGACAGCTAATTTATACACTATTATTACAGTACGCAGTGAAGTAAAAAGAAACCAAAAAAAAGCAAGCACAACAAAAAAAGAACGTTTTAATACATACTTTGTGTATGGTGGGGACAGAAAAATTATGACTATAGAGGAAAGTTTTACTGAATAAAATTATTGTTTGAACCGCTTAAAAAGCATTTTCATTTGGAATTAGGGAACGCAGTCACATCAAGCTAATGAGTCTATTTTAACCTGAATAATTAACTTGGATATAAATTTGGATGTAAATATAGCTTTATTTTGCATTGTTTTGCATGCATAGTGGTACTATTTTACATACTTGTATAACAGGAGAAGATGCAAGTCCTTTAGCTGTTTGAGAAAAATCTGTAGCGGAGTTTTCTCCTATATTTTGTCGGGTGAATAGAGTGTGGGGTGTGGCTGGTTACATGGTTACATGATGTAGTTCATACACAAATTCATGGAATGAGAAAGTTGTTCCTTAACAATCTTCTTCCTTGTTGCACTCTTGTGGCATCTATAGTCATTACAGAATGCTTCACTGCTGCATGACTATGGCAGAGGTGCAATTATGCAGCAGTATGAAAGCTGTGAAGCATTCTGTAATAATGTGAAAAGGACATACATGTAAGCTTTTGTCTGGTAGACAAAACAAAAATCTGTTTTGGGCTCAGTCAAGGATATGCAGTTATAAAAATTCTCAGGGACCCAGAATAACTGATGGCTTGCACGGCTTGCATCTTTTGGGATGCAACGATTGATCACGATTAGCCTACGAGCAAGCTCTCCAGTGTGCTCTGGTAGTGGGGTGGGAAAAGGAAGGAGAGGTTGCAACTTCGTCTCTGGAATTTGAATTCCACCTCCAATTCTTGCTTGCCTGTAACAATTCTCGTGTAAAACAATAGACTTAATTATTTTTGTATACATGTATTTAATTCAATATAAGAGTATCTTATCAATTAGTCTCTTCAATAGTACAAGATGATAAATGAGTTTAAATCGATAAGTCATTAATGATATCAATTATTAGTCTACAAGCTAGTTATTGGCATAGCTTGCTGTAGTTCAACTATGGCAAGTTAAGCCATTTTCTCCACTTTTAAAATGTAACAAAATGTAACATGCATCCGGCATGAAAGTGTCCCTAGGTGAAAATGAAGAAAGAAGGTGCTAAATAAAACTGAGAAAGGTGCTACAGTGTAAATAATTTAATCAGTAAATGCATCTTGTGATTGTAATTTTGTCATAGATTGAGGGTGCGTGATACAGTGGATTTTGCTTACTTAGGATTAACGGACATTGTGTACTTACTTTTGTGCAGGAAAATGGAGCTCTAAGTGATGAAATAGTACGAACTGAGACAAAGCTTCAACGGGCAAAAGCTGAGAGAAAGTAATGTTTTACACTTTTATAATGTTTGTAGCAATGTTAGAAATGTGTTAGAGACATTAAAGTTTGGATCTTCCTGGTTCATGCTTATAGAAATTACATTGACTTATAAATGATTAGTAGAATTGAGTGGTAGAATTCTTGACTTGTACAGATACCATGTAGTGATTGTATTAGAATATTTTTTTTATGGCTGGACTTCTGCAAGTGGACATAGTTAAGAAAATCTTATGTGCTGTAAGTTCTGATTGGCTTCTGAAGGAACAAGATGCTTGCAGGGTACAATCCCCCTTCTAGCTTCCTCCACAAGAAAAAAGTCTTTTGGTCATAACTAAATTATTATAAAACCTTTATTATTCTATCTTGTTTTAGTCAAGATGGCAGGATATTGGTCTTGTTCTTGTTATTTTTTTTCATCTTTTTTATAATAATGACCTTGGCTTGTACATAGAGCTTCACCCTGTGAGAAGAACTTCCTTTTGTCTTCTTGCTGGAGTGAGGAGGAGAAAATGGAAACTCTCTCTCTTTCTAAATCGTTTCAAGTCTTTGAAGATGCTAGTGCCTGAACTTCTGGACTTATTAATCTTGTTTTCTTTTGACATAATGTTTTTTAGTGAGCGTCCATTATTGGTAAACCAATGGTCATTACTGTGCCTGTTGTACCAAGTGCACAGCTATTAGGCATGGGGTCAAAACTATTATCCTAACAACATGTAGCACATGCTCAACTAAGATCTTATGAGATTCATGCAGAGTCTTTCTTTAGTACCACAAAATCGATGTCACTACAATGTTGTGCTAAACATCATTGTTGCAAATCATCCTGTGTAAAATAACAATCGGCCAGAAAATTAGTTGAGACATGTACTTCAACCTAAAGGGACTTTCAGACATTCTACTGACTTGAAAAGAGGAAAATTATAAAGCTTTTTCTCCCCCATCCCCTCCATGCAATGTTGAGCCACTGTTTGAGCTACCTATAGAAAATAACAAACATCCCAATTTTGAATGGAAGGGAGGGGGAGGGGTGTGGATTCTTTTGTTCTCTGAAGTTACCCTATTTGAGAACAATGTCTCAATAATTTTGTCGCCAATTGTAGGTTATAGTGAATGAATACATTTCTTTAGCGTCGTTGTATGACTACGACATGAAACTTCCTAATTTCACGTGCCTGCTTTATAAAGTAGATGAACAAAACACAATTTTGTTTTCTTTTTCTAAACTTATTACAAAATTAATGCTCTCTCTTGCCTTTAAGGTTCATTCTCAAGAGACTGTTTCAGTACCAAACAGCTGCAGAAGCAGGGGTTTTTCAGATGCCTACCTATGCTCTGTTCCCTCCAGAAATTTTACCACCTGTTGTACTCCCCCCTCATGTTATGAACAAGGTTAAAGCTCCCAAGGTCAAGGTTAAGAGACCAGTGGCTAAGTCAAAGACGAGCAAAGAAGCTAAGGCTCCAACTGCAACAGCAGCGAAGGCTCAGAAGGCTGCAGCAGATATTACAGGTTGGTAGTGCTTTCAGTTGGTAACTTACAGTCAAGCCAGGTCAAGCGTACCCCCCAAAATTCCATTAATGAATTTATTATTCGAAAGTTGAGTCTGTTGGCAGTTGTAGATTTCAGGTTCATCTCTACATTCTTGCATGCATATGAAATATCTACCAGCTCAGTTTCCCTGAATTTGATGTAAATGTCTTCTTTGATGTAATGTCTTCAATCTGACCAAATACAGGCAAGTTCTCATAAATTATTCAGTGCTCATTATGCATGCAGTAATTCCGATTTGAATTTGACACCAGTTACGGGAACGACTAACGGATTCATTTTTCAAATAATCAATTAATTTATAGAATCTTGGGGGGTACTCTTGACCTGTTTTGACTGTAAATCAATGTAGGTACAGAACTGTTAATTCATGGAAGCCCATGTGGCCGGCGCTTAACCTAAGATCGACCCTAAGATCAAAATTTGTACTCTCATTTGTTGCCCCTATTGATTTTCTTCAGAAGTAGTGGGGAGAAGTTGATAAAATATCAAGTACATTGTAAATTCATCTTGTGTGATCATGTTCGTAATTCTCATGACCACTCTGTTTTATAAAGCATTGATATTACAAGGAGAAATTTGATGCTGATCACTCTTAGGGCTTAAAGGGTTAAAAGGTAATGTTCCTAAATGTTTTACATTGGTAACTTGTAACGGTACTTACATCTTAAACTGACAAACTTGAGGCAGACAGTGCACTCATTTTACCCCCCTCTCTCCATTAGTTCTCCACATTGTGTATTTAAAGTTACTGAAAAGCTACTTGCGCACAGAAAGGAAAGAAATGAAAGCAAGGATTTGAGTCACACCTGGAAATCAAAAAAATAAAGAAAGAAAATGTATTAGTGCCGGACTACTGGGCAGGACTTTTTTTCGATGCCTACTTTGTAACTATCCTATAATTCAAAATTCAGGAAGAACTAAGAATTAACCGCCGGATGCCCGCTAAGCTTTTGGACCGCTTCACTGCTAATCTCGTGGACTGCTTGACCACTAAGCATGTGGACCACTTGACCGCTAAGCTTGTTGTGGTTAACTTAGTTAAATTACATGTAACCAAATTAAAAATGTATGTTAATACAGTCACTTTAAAAGCTCTTACATCACATTCTGATGCTGAATCAATTACATCCTCTTTTTTGTTAACTCTGTTGAAGCTATATAGTGTAATGTGAATGGTTAATTTTTCTATGGTATAGTTAACCACCACATTATGTATTGTTCAACAATCAGATTACAGTGACTATTAAAGTTATTGCATTGTTTACATCTTGAACGAAGACTGACTCTTTGTTTTGTGGCTAGGAGCTAAAGATGTGGTGAACGAAAAACCAGTAAAACAAGAAAAGAAGAAACCTGCAAAACCAAAGAAGCCCAAAGCACAGCAGTCTGAAAGCTCTCAACCTGTGACTTCTGTCACTACTGATGCTGCTCCTAAAAGTGCCGTAGCGACTGTACCGGGAATTCCATCTGTGAAACCAAAGAGAAAGAAACCAGGAACAGCTGTGAAGCGCAAAGTACAACCTATTGCAGTGGATCCCAAAGGTAAAACAAAAGGTTTTGTGTCAGTATCATTTAGGAAAGATTGCAGGCCTTTTTATGAGCTGCATGGTTGTGTGTCCCCTGTAAGGGAATCCAATTCAGTCTGGGATTTAGGATTCCACGCCATGGATTCCGGATTCCACATTCCAGGTACTGGATTCTGGCCTCTTTGTCAGTGGAACTTGGATTCTGGATTCCAGATCCCTTGAGCTGTATTCCAGATTCCAAAGCCCAGGATTTTGGATTCCACAGGCAAAATTTCATGGATTCCGGATTCCAGAATCCACATTCCCTAACCTGGGGCCAATCACTAAAACTGATGATGCGACAGCTAAGCTTATATACACTAGCCTGTGAACAGGCTCTCTTGTAGAGGATGTAGAGAAGGCTAGAAAAGGGAAGAAGACAGAGAGGCAAAAGCATCCTCCTTTGCCTCAGTTAAGGACTTTTAAGAGTTTAAGTTTGAGAGTTACCATGAAACGTTGTTTATTTTCAACCCCTTCATAGAGAATAGGGCTATAATCCTCCTCAATAAAGCAACGAATTAAATATTGTTCTTGTAGTTTTTTAAGGCAGTTTAAAATCTTTGGGTTGGGGAGTGGGGGCACGGACTTGACAGCATGTAATGTATTCTGAAGTGTGTTTCTATTCTTACTCTGTGATGATGATATTATTAATTTTGTTGGTAGTACTCATGGTTTTCTCTTAAACAGGTAAACCCATTTTCCCAATAGTTCTTGGAGGACTTACTGTTCACAGTCTTGGCGAGGTGAGTTATGCTCTCCATGTGGAAGTACTTAGTTTAATATTAGAGACCATTAGAATCTAAGACCAAAACGACTTTGAGAACGAGTTCGTAAACCCGCGTCATTTTGGCGGGAAAACGCAATAGCCGTCGTCATTCTGCACGCGGTTTAGCTTGAATGTCGCAGTGACGGAAAGAAGTTATCAAATGTCAGACTTTAAAAAGTAAAAAGCTAGCCCCCTCCCGAATTGGAGGAAGTTATTTTTAAACGCACAATTGAAAAGACCACCTTTTTCCATTTTACTTCGAAAGGCCCCACAGATAAAAAACTCTTATCCGCTGTTTTTGAACAAGTTAAATCTCGTCCTCACTGTCGTCCTTATCCTAGAATCTAAAGGTCTCAGTTTTAATTTTCAGTGACAGGGAAGTCAAAGAACTTTAAATACGTAGTGTTTTTTTTTTAGTGTTAAAAGTTTTGGCTGAAAGGCAAAGATATCAGTTTAGCATTGTGCCGAGGTTTGCTCTGTTTTAGCCAGTGGTAAAGCGAAATTTTCTAATACAGTGCCTTGTTTCTTTGGTTGGTTTGTATGCGATTTTGTTTCCTTTCTGCCATTCTGAATAGAAAATATCGAAATGTTCTCTTATTGGATCAGCCAATTATATTCTCTTGTAGCAGCTTTTGGAAAAAAAGTATTCCTGTAGTGTTTCATATAGATTGTGTACAGCGACGTGGTTTCTCTTCTGAGCGTTTTAGTTGACTTCTAGAGTGAGCCAGTTGTCTTCTTAAGTGCTGACAGGAAATTCTCATTACTTATTATCTGTTTCACAGATTGTTCATGAGCGACCTGGTTTCCATTCTGAGCGTTACATTTGGCCTATTGGCTACTGTAGCTCCAGAAGTTATCCTAGCATGAAGAACCCTGAAGATAAATGCATTTATACCTGCAAAATTCTAGATGGAGGATTTGGCCCTCAGGTAGGAATTAGAAGAAGAGTTCTTACCAAATTCAGGGGGTATTTTGGGTAATTTGTAAAGTTTCAAACACATGATACCGTTTTTAGACTTGTCAAAGCGCGAACTATGACTTTGTTGGAGGCTTGAAATTTTCCTATAATATTGTCAGTCTTTCAATTTTTACTACAAAATATTTTGTTCTAATAATAAGAGGAAAACGTTACATCTGTTTCACTCTATACATGTGTTAGCGCCTGTTTTTGAGGTAGTGATAACCTTTACAAGGCAACTGAAGTTTCACTCTGGTTTGCTACAATTAATAACCATCGAGCCCTTCGCAATTTGAAACCCCAGTTTGGCTGCCTTCAATATTTCCTTGTGGGTCGTATCATGGGTGTAAGCAGTGAGCATGGTTATTGTAGAGATCCAGTTTAAATTTTTTCTTCCACTGTTGCATTATAAATTTCATCTCATGAAACCATCATCATAATTGCCTTGCAATCAGCCTGAACTTGTAAATTTGCTGTGTGAACCTGAATAGATGTCCAAGAGTTGTTTGGGATTATTGCACGGGCGAGTGTATTATACATGCGCGAACTGTTCGTTTGCTTGCTCTTTGACTAAAAGGTTGGCTGTGTGTGTGTGTGTGTGTGTGTGTGGGAGGGGGGGGTGGGGGAGTAGGGGAGTCCAAACCTCCTGTGCCCCACCCCTTTTTTCTAGGCTTCCTCCCTTTAGCCCTCGAATTGCGAAATATTAACCATTGTTTCGTATTTTTCCGTATTTCTCCCATTTCCTACCCTTCTAGACCTCCTACCTCCCGACTTTTCCTCTCCCACTTCCCATACCCCTCCTGCCCCCCATTATCGCGGGCCTCCACCCACCTCCCCTGCCATCCCTCACTGGAAGGGTTTGCTAACTCTCTAGCGGATGATCTATTTTTGATCTTCTTGTTGTGTGTTTTTCAAGTTTGAGATGTGTCCCGAAGATGACCCGGATCACCCAATCATCGCTTCATCCGCTACTGCTTGTCACTGTGTGGTACTCAAGGCGGTCAATAAGGCCAGGTAAATAACTTATCTTATCACATTCAGGTGTCCTCTAAAAGGGTTTTCAGCTCATATCCTACATAATACGTGAATGCAAAATGTGAGCAACTCCTCTGAAACTTATTCCCTTGATTTAAGTTACCCAATACTCGACCTGCTTCGATCCCAAAAATTGAATTTTTAACTCTTCTACGTGTTGTTTTAAGGCTCTGCAACAAGTCGTCTATCCGTGCGAGTCTTTTGGATGGAAGAGAAATTGTGCGAGCAGGCTCACTTGTGGCGAGTTCGGGGAAAAGCGAACTCTAGTGAGCCTGCTAGCAGGCGATCGTCGTTTTGACGAAATGCAATATCGAACGCAGGGTGCAAAGAAAGTCACTTTTACAGCTTATCATTTAGGCAAGCTGTAGCTAGAACGTATTAGTCCAAGAGTCACTTTAACTAGCCTGAAAAAGGATTGATTACAGTTCAGGAGCAGGATTGATTACAGTTCTTCTGTAATATGAATTCCCCAAAAAACTTTACCTGCCCATCGGGCAAGTTGAGAACAGAATTCACTAGCCCAGTAGAAAAATCCACTGCACTAGCCCAGGGCTATCGGACACCAGTTTCTTTGGACGCTGGAACGAAAACCGCATCTTGTACACAGTTAGTCTAAGAATAATATTTATTCGATATTACCTGTTGTCAATGGCTATGTATCTAATATGCAGTTTGTATAGATCTTACTGAATATTAAAAAAGAACTTTCTACTCCTTGTTTCCTCAAGGGTTCAGCTGTGAAGGGCTATAATATGTTCCGTTTTTCTTCTAACAGAGGTAGGGATGCATCTAACACAGGTTCGGGTCCAGAGTTTTTTGGCTTTTCTCATCCAACCATACAGTACTTGATTCAGAGCTTACCAGGGGCCAGAAAATGCACTAAGTATCAGTGGGTCAAATTTGAGCTGCCGAAACCACAGAACAAGCAGAGCTCCGGTAAGTTTATCTTTAAAAACTACACTTGTGGTTTGCTTCCAGTGAAAAATTACAAATAATGGCTTCCCATTTAATCTTGTTACTGCAGGTTGCTGCTACGTTTTCTCTTGAGCTAATATGGATCATTTCAGATTCTTTTTTATGGTAGCACTCATCAGTCTTAAAGCGTGAGAAAACAGCCGAAATTTCGCGACGCTGGTTTCCCCGTGAAATGCATCTGAGAAACGAGCGCAGAAATTCCATACTGATGACGCGTCACTACCCAGATCTGGGTAGTGGTTCTGATTGGTCATGCCGCGTAGGAAATTTGCTTCAACCAATCAGAAGCACTACCCAGATCTGGCTAGTGAAGGGTCATCAGTGTGGAATTTCTGTAGCCGTTGCTCAGACGTCATTTCGCAGGGGAACCAGTCAGCTGTTTTCTCAGGCTAATAGTCTTTAAAAGGTTTAACTTTTGAATTTGTTTTCCTTGATGTGGCTAAAACCTTTTTTGGGGTAGTTTTTCATTGTACTATTTGGTGCTTGAAGTATTTTCAACTTGAATTTCGTTTCTGTCTGGGTATGGTGAGCTCCAAAGCGAGATGTGACTGCACCTATTTTAAAGTAAAACCCATCAATTGCATGGATAGTTAGATTTTATATATTTTGTTTTTTATCGTCAATACTTTTTAACGTGTATTTAAGTTTTTGACACAAGTTTCGGTTATACAATTCAAAGAAACCCTAGACTGCTTCCGGTCGGCCTTTTATCTTAAAATCCGTCCAGTACTTATCCCAGCCAGAGCGATTGCAAACAACTACGTTACAGTAAGGAATCTTTTAGGGCTTACGCTCTCGTTCATCGCGGCTCACGTGTATGGGTAACGCATGGAGATATTCTGTACTGAGTAACTTTGCAAAGAAAAATAAGAGACTTCTTGCACCAGCGGCCATTGTTTTCATTTTCGCTTCGGATTTCGGACGACTGTAATACTAGAGAGAAATTAGAAACAACGGTGGTGCTAAACTGCAGGGTGAGGGGAACGGGGGAAGGTAAACAAGGTGTATTGTGGGCGATGCGAATGCGAAAGACGAAAAGTAGGACGACTGTTATACCCGAGAGAAATTGTAAACAATGATGGTGCAAAACTTGGGGGTTGTGTATTATAGGTAATGCGAAAAATAAGAATGGCGGGGTTCGTCTCCCCTCCCTCCACCTCCATGTTTAGACCCTAATCCTTAGTGCTTTTGCAGGTAAACAGTCCGGTACAACTACAGCCGATCCTTCAGGAGTTGTGCAGGGAATCCCAGCGACAGTAGACGAGGATTCCATCGCCAATTTAGCTGATGAAGAAGATCACATCACAGGAGCCATGGCGACGTCCCATTCGTCAGCTCCGATAAATCATGATGAAGAAATGTTCAAAGGTAATTAACAGTCAAGGTAAACGTTGTGAACTAANCGCCAATTTAGCTGATGAAGAAGATCACATCACAGGAGCCATGGCGACGTCCCATTCGTCAGCTCCGATAAATCATGATGAAGAAATGTTCAAAGGTAATTAACAGTCAAGGTAAACGTTGTGAACTAATGCCAATGCTTCGGATCGAAGCCATCATTCGGTTCTAAGTGTGTTCATGTCTTTTTGTCATCAATCTCGTCCCCAGGGCGTTTGTGTCGGTAAGTTAGTTTGCCAGTCATTCAGTCAGTCAGTCAGTCAGTCAGTCAGTCAGTCAGTCAGTCAGTCAGTCAGTCAGTCAGTCAGTCAGTCAGTCAGTCAGTCAGTTAGTCAGTCATTCAGTCAGTCATTCATTCAGTCAGTTAGTCAGCCAGTCAGTCAGTCAGTCAGTCAGTCGTTCTTTCAGTCAGTCAGTTAGTTAGTCATTCATTCATTCAGTCAGTTTTTCAGTCAGGCAGTCTGTATGTCTCTCTGTCATTTTAGTCAGTCAGTCAGTCATTCGTTCAGTCACTCAGTCTGTATGTCTGTCTGTCATGTTAGTCAGTCATTCAGTCAGTTAGTGAGTATGTCTGTCTTTCATGTTAGTCAGTCAGTCATTTATTTGGCCATTTGGAAGTAATTTCTCAAGTTACAGAGTACTTGGGAAAGAGTTCTCAGAAAACTTTAAGGTAAGCCGAAAATCAGGTCCCTGTAAATTACCTGAATAACTTTCTAGAGCCAAACTTTAATTTGTAACTTTTTGTTGTCGTTTACAGATTACGCCGATATGGGACCACTGACTCTTGCTTCTACCATCACTCCCCTCTCGTCTCCAGGCCTCTGCAGTCCAAGTCCCAGCCCGCAGCTGGATGGCTTAGAACCCGATAATGAAATGGATACAGGTAAGCGTCTGTTATGTACATAGCATTTAAACGTGTTAGGGAAAAGGCCACCATCTTTCAACAGTTCCAAGCAAAGGAAAAAAACTTGTTCGCCCTGTTTACACGACGTAGTTACGAATCTGTGCTGCATTAGTTACGTACGTCAACTAGGCAAATATAAAGAAGAAAAAAGAAACATTGGTTATTTGTAGCATACATACCTGATTACTTAATGACTTTCTCTTGTCGATGTTGTTACTTTTTGAAAAGCTTGAAGTCAGCAATCTTGACAGCGCTTGTCTTGGTCACCGGTCGATGTTTTGACAGTGACTGACAAAACATCGCAAGGAAAAATGTTGCCACCGTTTTCAGACAATCATTGGAGCAACAACCTCAAAAAATGAGGTTGCTGCATGTTACTGCTTTGGTGAAAAATAGGGTATTAGCTGTTGTTAATTGATTCCATGTCCTGTTGGAGCTGACCTGCGATCAGGCGGTCCTTCTTGCCCCTTTCGCCCTCTCCCGCAAAAAATGGCTGGTCGTAGGTTAGCTGAGAGCCAGAAGTGCAAACTGAAATTGATACAAGTTAATCATTGTGTATGCATACACACAGGGATGAATCCACTGATGTCGTCGCCCTCTCGATCAGCCTTCCCGACATCTCTTTCGGACATGCGTCTATCGCCACCTCCTGCAGGCCAAGCATCCTTTATTCTTCATCCTACATCGCCACTTTTCGGGAATAGTTCTGGTTTTCCTGAAACAGGAATACCGGAATCACCACCGAAATAAAGTGTTGTATCCTGCAGGCAGTTGAACTCCGTAGTGTTATTGAGTGCTGTTGGTCTTTGGGCGTCGTACGGTCATGGACAATCATAGCTCGCTCAAAAACTCGCGCAAAAACTGGATGGAATTTTAGTCTAATTGTGCGAATTTGGAACACGTCTTACTCCTTTTGTCGCCATAGAGGGGGGGGGGGGGGGGGGGGGGAACAGGGGAGTCCAAACCTCCTGCATCCCATCCCTTTAATCTAGGCCTCCTTCCTTTAGCCCTTTTTGGATTGCGAAATATTAACCATTGTTTCTTATTTTCCCGTATTTCTCCCATTTCCTACCCTTCTAGAACTCCTACCTCCCGTCTTTTCCTCTCTCACTTCCCATACCCCTCCTGCCCCCTATTATCCCGGGCTCCCACCCCTCTCCCCTGTACTCCCTTACTGAAAGGGTTTGCTAATCCTCTAGCGGATGATCTATTTTTTGATTTTCTTGTTGTGTGTTTTTCAAGTTTGAGATGTGTCCCGAAGATGACCCGGATCACCCAATCATCGCCTCATCCGCTACTGCTTGTCACTGTGTGGTACTCAAGGCGGTCAATAAGGCCAGGTAAATAACTTATCTTATCACATGGCAAGTCCCATTAAATGGCCGAGATACTGCCTCTAGGTGTCCTCTAAAAGTGTTTTCAGCTCATATTCTACATAATACGTGAATGCCAAATGTGAGCAATTCCTCTGAAACTTATTCCCTTGATTTAAGTTGCCCAATACTCGACATGCTTCGATCCGAAAATTGAATTTTTAACCCTACGAGTGGACAAATGGTGGTCACTTGACAAAATGAGTTGTGAATAATTTTGCTGCAAGTTGTTTAAAGGCTCTGCAACAGGTTGTCTATCCGTGCGAGTCTTTTGGATGGAACCGGAGAATTGGTGCGGGCAGGCTCATTTGTGCCGAGTTCGGGGAAAAGCGAACTCTAGTGAGCCTGCTAGCAGGCGATCGTCGTTTTGACAAAATGCAATATCGAACAAAAACCGCATGCACAGTTAGAATAATATACATTCGATTATTACCTGTGGTCAATGGCTATGTATCTAATATGCAGTTCGTATAGATCGTACTGAATATTAAAAAATATACTTTCTAATACTTGTTTCCTCGAGGGTTTAGGTGTGAAGGGCTAATATGTTACGTTTTTCTTCTAACAGAGGTAGGGATGCTTCTAACACAGGTTCAGGTCCAGAGTTTTTTGGCTTTTCTCATCCAACCATTCAGTACTTGATTCAGAGCTTACCTGGGGCCAGAAAATGCACTAAGTATCAGTGGGTCAAATTTGAGCTTCCGAAACCACAGAACAAGCAAAGCTCCGGTAAGTTTATCTTTCAAAACTACACTTGTGGTTTTCTTAGTGAAAAATTACAAATAACGGTTCTCCATTTAATCTTGTTTCTGCAGGTTACTGCTATGTTTTCTCTTGAGCTAATATGGATCGTTTCAGATTCCTTTTTATGATAGCACTAATCATAGTCTTTACGCTTGAGAAAACAACCGAAATTTCGCGACGCTACCACTGGTTTCCCCGTGAAGTGACGTCTGAGAAACGAGCGGAGAAATTCCATCCTGATGACGCGTCACCACCCAGATCTGGATAGTGCTTCTGATTGGTCATGCCGCGTAGGAAATTTACCTCAACCAATCAGAAGCACTATCCAGACCTGGCTAGTGAAGGGTCGTCAGTGTGGAATTTCTGTAGCCGTTTCTCAGACGTCATTTCGTAGGGGAACCAGTGGTGGTGTTGGGAAATGTCAGCTGTTTTCTCAGGCTAATAGTCTTTAAAGGGTTTACCTTTTGAGTTTGTTTCCCTTGATGTGACTAAAACCTTTTTTGAGGTAGTTTTTCATGGCACTATTTGGTGTTAAGTATTTTCAACTTGAAGTTCGTTTCTCCCTGGGTATGGTGAGCTCCAAAGCGAGATATGACTGCTCCTATTTTAAAGTAAAACCCATCAATTGTTTTTGTATTGTATTGTCTTCTGTTATTGTCACTGACCTTCCTTGTAATTTAGCCTTTTGGCTGCGAGAGGGATATCAATAAACTATTACTATTACTATTACTACTATGGACAGTTAGATTTTATGTTTTTTGTTTGTGATCGTCAATATTTTTTAACCTGTATTTAAGTTTTTGACAGAAGTTTCCGTTATACAATTCAAAGAAACCCTAGACTGCTTGTAGTCCCCCTTTTGTCTTAAAATCCGTCCAGTTCTTTCCCAGCCAGCGCGATTGCAAACGACTACGTTACAATAAGGAATCTTTTAGGGCTTACTCTCTCGTTTATCGCGGCTCACGTGCATGGTTTGCGCATGGAGTAACTTTGCAAAGAAAAACAAGAGACTGTTTGCAGTCTAAAGAAACCCTTAAGATGACAATGGCCATTGTTTTCATTTTCGCTTCGGACTTCGGACGACTGTAATACCCGGGAGAAATTAGAAATAACGGTTGTGCTAAACTGCGGGGTGGGGGTTGGGTGGTAACCAAGGTGTTTCATGAGCGATGCGAATGTGAAAGACGAAAAGCAGGACGACTGTAATACCCGGGAGAAATTGTAAACAATGCCGGTGCAAAATTTGGGGGGGGGGGTGGGGGGTTGGGACACACAAAGGGAATAACAGGCAATGCGAAAAAAGGGGACGACGGGGATCGTATGGACCTGTTAATTTC